GGAATTATTGTTCGGTAAAAGTAAGCCTCTGACAGGTGTATGTGATGGTCACCATTATTTAACCCTTTCAGGGTCCGTCCCGTAGATCTACGGCTTTACGTTCAGGGTCCAAACCGTAGATCTACGTCATGAGCTCAGCTCACTCTGATAAACTGTGAGTGGTACATTTGGGCCTAGATATGAGAGAATACATCTATGTGGTATGTGTGCACCACATAAAACAGATCCTGCAGCACACTGTGTATAATGAGAGAAAAAAAACTGAAATCATGATTTTTCGATTAAAACAGTGACTTTGCAGTGTTTTTTCGTATGTTTTTTATAGTTGTATTTGCGATTTCTTGGTCTCATTTGATAGAATGGAAGACATATTACAGGAAAAGAGATGATTTTGATTGGTTTTAGCACTAGAAATGGCTTGAAACTGAGCTCAAAGTAGCAGAAATGTTAAATTTTTGCCGATATTCAAGAGTAAACAAACGACCTCACACGTCTAATACACGCCAGCTGGTGGGTCTAATATGCATTCACAAATATGGTGATGATATTTATACAATTATTACAGTATTGCATAACAGTAAATTTTCTATTTTTTGGTGTGAATAAAAATTCATTATGTGAATAAAAAATAAAAATGGAATTTATTTGTAAAGCCTCAAAACATAACTAATGAACAGAGGAAATGTTAGTTTAGTTCCAGGAATACCTACATTGTTTATTCTGGACCCTATTTTGAAATTGGAATATTTTGAACTTTGTGTTAAATTGGCCAAATTAACAATTTCCAATCACTTTAATTTGTAGTTGAAACAGTTGACTTGGCGATTTCTTGTGCTCAATCGATAGAATAGAAGTAATACTAGTGAAATAGCTAAGAATTTGGTTGACTGGAATAATGTAATTGGCCTAAAATGGGAGTCAAAGTCGGCAAAATCGCTGATTCGTAAATATCGCTGACACATCAAAATTTGCGAGAGCATAATTTCGTCAATTTTCCATCAAATTTCATACTTTTTGTTTTATTACCTTCACAAAAAGATTCTCTACCATTTCATAAGAAAAAATAAAAAATTTTTTTTTTTTAAATTCTTGGACACTGGGGCACCACTTCAGATTTGGGCCTTGGACCCTGAAGGGGTTAACATAATTATAGATGGGGCTGTAAAAGAAGTGAATGGTAGGGTTTTGGGGAAAAATGTGGGATTAAAAATTACGAATTTGATACAAAGTGGGAGTTATCACAGTTTCTCTCTGCTTACGATACAGTTCTTTAGGGAGACTCGGAGAAGTTGCAAAGGTTGGTGGAGGAATTTGGGAGGGTATGTAAGAGGAGGAAATTAACAGTAAACAAATGATAGAACAAGGTAATGAGTAACAAAAAATCTAGGTAATGAAAGATTATTTATCAGAATGGATGAAGAAAATATAGAGGAAGGGAATATATTTAGATATTTGGGAATGAACTTGTTGGTGGATGAGTCTAGTAATTATGTGATAACCAGTAAAACAAATCAAGAGGCAGGAAGGCGAGTGGTATGGTGGAGCATCTCTGGAGTAAAAGAACTTTATCCATTGAGGCAAAAATGGATAATGCACCAGAGTATCATGGTACCAACACTGCTATGAGGGTGTGAAGCACGAGTTTTACGTTGCAGCAAGCAAGAAGCTGGAAGCAGTGGAGATCTTTATGTTTGAGGGCAATGTGTGTTGTGAATATTATGCCAAGAATTTGGCTTGGGGATTAGGTGTGGGGGTTACCAACAGTTTAACCCTTTGAGGGTCGACAGGTCCTCTCAGAGACTTGTTCTCAGGGTTGGCAAAAAAAAATTGTGATAAGATAGAGAATCTTTTCCCGATCATAATGACACCAAAAGTATGAAATTTGATGGAAAACTTACGGAATTATGCTCTCGCGAAGTTCGTGGTCTTGACAATGTTTACACATCGGCGATTTCACACACTTTGAGCCCTATTTTCGGTCAATTCCAGTGTACTAGTCGACAAAAATCATATCTATTTCGCTAGAACTCCATTTTTTCTATCTAATGAGTACAAGAAACCACCCATTTACTAATTTCAACTATCCAACAAAGTGGTCAGAAATTGGCAATTTTGCCAATTTCACATAAATTTCAGAAGATGCCAATTTCCAAATAGGGTCCACAATAAACTAGACAGATATTCCTGACACTAAAATAACATTTTCTCTGTTCATTAGTCACGTCCCCAGGCCCCTATTACATCTCTTTTGCTTTCTGCTCTAAATTTTTATTCTCACAAAAAAAATAAGATTTACTGTTATGCAGACTACTGCATTAGTGTAGAAATGGTATAAATAATATCAGCGCACTTGTGAAAGAATATTAGACTCATCAGTTGATGTGTATTGGACGCTTGGCATGATTTGTTTACTTTTGAACTTTGGTAAAAATCGAACATTTCTGCTACTTTGAGCTCAATTTCAAGGCACTTTTCATTGTAAAACCAGTCAAAATCATCTCAATTTCTGTATTATGTCTTCCATTCTATAAAATGAGACCAAGAAAACTAGAATATAACAATAAATACCATACAAAAATACAGTGCAAAGTCGCTGTTTTAATCCAAAAATACTTTCAAAGTTTTTTTTTTCTCATTACGCACTGTGTGCTGCAGGATTTTTTTATACTGCGCACACTGACCACATAGACCCATTCTTTCATGTGTAGGCCTACCAGCTTTCTCTCACTAGATTTGAGGGCGCTAGAATTTAGGCGTACTAGTACGTCAAAAACCCTGGGTCGTAAGACGTACTAGTACGTCCGAAACCCCCAAAGGGTTAATTGGAAGGGCTATCAGGACAAGAGAAGTAAGGACTGCATGGAGTTCTGCAGTGAACACAGAAATCTCTTGGTAAATGCACAATACAAGTTCTCACTGGTAAGCACCAGAAAGCAGAAAGTAAAACCCTCCATATAACGGACTTCGGAAACATGGAACAAAATCCTATGGGTCAGCCGATTCAAAAACAATGGACAAAGTCCTTTGGATAGAGAGCTGTCCATTATTATTACAATCACATCAAAATAATTTTTCTTCTATTCACCACAATTGCCATTACCGGCCACCCACTCCACTTTATTAGTCTGTTATGTAGAGGGTTCACTGTACCTGTTTGTAAAAACAATTATCCTTGAAGAATGTCCAAGGAGGGTGGGGAGAAAAATCAACCTTTCCCACTACAGACACATACAAGCTACAATCCAGGAGAGCAGCCTGGATCCAAAAACCAGACAGAACAGGAAATCAAGTCACTGAAGAGAGTTTAAACCTATGGAAAACCATTTCTTAAACTAGCAAGCCAGTGCTCTATCCACTGGACATGCCAGTCTCATAAAATTTTTCCAAATAGGTATACCTCTATACACACTAGGAAGGTTTGTACGGGCCCCACTGTAATCACAAATGTAGATTTTAATAGATGAATTTCACACCAATATGACTAGCTCAAATCCCTTCAAAGCCATTATGAACAACTTGAAAATCATAATGACACAACTGTAAACAACTCACTGAATAAATGGGTTTCAAGCTCTTGGCAAGCCAGTCCTAAAACTAGAAAGATATTGTACTATTCATTTGCTCATTGCATGATGATCAAAATTTACCTTCTCTTCTCCATGAAAATTGCAGAATGAGATGAACCCAAAACAGGTAGCACAGGCCTAGCTCTTCATGGACGAGTTCCAGGGAAAGCACACTAGACTCAACATAAGAGGGCCTCAACAGGGAGAGTATTGAATGCACCCATGCAAAGCAATATTCCTATGTGACAGACAAGATTTAGCGAGCACAAAAGGGACAAGTTGGTCGAGTACATCTAGCAGCCATACTGCAGCCTGGAGTGACATAGATTATATATAGGCAAAGCATGATCTGCCAGTCCACCCCCAGGTATGATGAGAAAGCAGCTTAAGAATGTCTAGCACCTGCAGAGAATCCACTTTCAAGTTGCTTTATATGTAAAGCCCATGTCAGGCTTCAAAGATCATTTCTAAAAATGTCACCTGCTGCTACTAGGAAAGGACCACACCATTGAGTAGCACATGGGGAGCCAGCTGTTTAACTCAGGACCAGGTAAAATTAACAGCCACTGCCACCTTCTTCAGAGTGGAAACCTGGTAGCCATTAGAAGCAGCTTATTCAATGATGTTGTCCACTACCACCTGCAGCCAGTGACAGGCTATCCTGGGAGTAGAAGTCACAACTATAAACTAAGGAGAAGAGTTGGTATAGTAATAGAAAATGGAATGAGTTACAAGAAGAGGTGATAAGTGCTAAAACCACTGAAAATTTTAAAACTTTATGATCAGTTAAATACTAAAGAAAGGATGTCACAAGCATATTGATGCTCCTGTAGCTACAAACAGGCAATTACACACACCCATGAAAATTCCAAGTCAAGACTCTTATGGCAAAGACAAATCTATAGCCTATAATATATTGTGTAGTAATTTTAAGTTTAGAACTTCAAAATACTGTATGTGTCTTTATGAGTCATCTATCATAAAAGTTCCATATGAAGCATTAAATTAAAACAACTATAATCAATAAATATATCATAATGCATCAGATTTAACAAGCCAATTAAATTAAGGAATATATTCATGTATATAAATGTGAATAAGCATTTTTTGCTGCCAAGCAGCAATTTTAGAATTGTAAATAATAATTTTGTCCAACCATTTCTTAAGCCAATAGAGTAACAGTTATAACAAAGAAAATTTCCAGTTGCAAGACAATGTATGTTGATCCAGAGAGCTTAATCTTTTCAGTTTCTATACTGATCACAATTCTATAAATACTAACATGAACAGCTTCTACAACACTAATAAATATACATAACTGCTTAACAAATTTGCTTTATTTGACCTAACCTCCCCTCCTCCACAACAGCCTGTGTCCATGTATGCAAAAAAGTTTTTGTGTGCATGTGTGTGTGTGTGTGTGCCCATGTGTACCTTTGGAGTGTCGCCATGCTACTCCGTCAGAGGGTGTGCGGCGGTGGCCCGGATGCCAAGCCGGGGTTGTCCCTGCAGCGTCGGTGCGAGCTGGTGGTGCCTGGTCTTGCTGGCCCTCCTGGTTGCCACCTTGCTGCTGCTGCTGCTGCTGCTGCTGCTGCTGAATGCCGCTGGCTGCCTCAGGGCCACCAGCTGCACCTTCTCCTACCTCCGGCCCATTTCCTCCACCGTGAATGCGACCCATCGACTTGGACTTACGCGGCGTACGTGGCAGTTGCTGATCGATGGCAGGTTGAGTGTCACTAGAGGGTGCGGCACGTCCTGCGCCTCCTGATGCTCCTCCGGCCACCCCGTTGGCGTTCACCTGGTTCTTCGTTGACTGCGGCGGCTGTGGAAGATGATACAAATATATGCTTGCACCTAAATGGCATTTAAAATTCCTTTGAGATGGATCTATCTTAACTGTCAATTTCTGAAAACCAATAACCCATGAGCTAAGCTTTCCAGTTTATTATCCAGTTTTTTAAGATGAAGTCACTGTCAATCAAACTACTGTATATTTCCCATTATCAATTTTAAAACAGCAGAATCATAATATTTACTGTTATTAGAACTTCCTCCCACTAGCAATTAGTGATGAGGTGCCAACTATATAGTACAATACTGTACATAGTACCATATACAATATTGAAAAACCATGGTCTTAAACCTACATGATGAACAATAATCATAAATGAGAAATGATGTGCATTAATTACTTAGCAAAATCAAGTTGGCAACTAACAAGGTTTAATGCACAATGAGCAGCAATAAATAATACTACAGAAACACATGCAGACATGATTACTGCAACAACAGTTATGACAATCTACATTGCCATTACAGTACAGTGTATACAAAAACTTTACATTAGCAATCTATGGATTGAAATAAAAATACAAGAGCACGAAGCCATGCTCTCAAGAACAAATTAGTCACTTTAAACACAAAAAAATACACCAACTATGTGTGTGGTGATGGCAATGCTTTATTCTGGGGTTATTTCTCTATAAAATCCACAAAGATCATGTAAGCAGATCATTTCTCCTTCACAGTACTGTATGTGCAGATTGCTTGGCGTTTTTCCTCCCTCGATTAGAATGAGATGTGAAATGCCAGATAAAACCTGAACCCTATCAAGGGTTAACAGCATACACACACTGCATTCACCTTTTCCACCCTCCCAATTACATGTGATTGACTCACAAAATCATAACCTGACTGCAAACAAACCACAGAACAGTTGGGCTTTGAACCCCTGGTGAGCGAGTCATACTGGCCTGGAGTTTTAAGACTCACTTGCCATGGGTACAAACCCCACCCATTCCATATTTTGTTTACATGTGATTACTTGTCTCAACTTGGCATTAAAAGCAGATGAACAGGACATTACTCTACTCTGTTTTGTCTATTACCAGATAGGGAGCAATAAGAGAAATTCACTTAATTGCTATTATACCTGGAAATGCCAAACAAGCTATGCATTAAAATTTATTACAGTACAGTGTAATTATAATACCTGGAATTACCTAAATTATTTGTAATTATCCTTCGTGTTTATAAAAGTACATAAATAAGAGCTATTCTTGTGGTGTTCTGTCTCTGCTAATTTGTCTCATACTCTCTTAAATATGGCAGTTATTGTAGCACTTACTACCTCTTCCTGCATCTCGCTTCAGCAGTCCTTAAATTGTCCATAACAATAACTAATAATTCTGGATAAAAGGCTTTGTTGTTTCTGGATATTGTTCACCCACACAGAGTGTTGTTTAATCCTAAATCCATTAAATCAGGATTTTACTATACAAACCCCCCCTTCTAAAAAAAAAAATTAATTACAATGAGAGGCTTAACCATTAAACTGTCCAAACGTAGATCTATGTTTTTTCAACATTTGAAAGTATGTAAAAAAAAGTAGATCTTCTCTTTTTTTTTTTTTACATTTGAAAACATGTAAAAAAAAACTTTGATCTACTTTTTTTTTGTTATATTTGAAAATATGTAAAAAAAAACAGATCTACTTTTGGAGCACTACGCATGTGAACATAAATTTGTTTGGACAGTTTAAGGGTTAAAATACTAAAATGTCTTCAGTCACTTATAGAAATAAAAGAGAATGTATGATAAACACAAATAAGGCTGTAAGTGGAAGAACAGATAAAAATGATTTATATATTGGTAGAGAACCTTCAGTAAGAAGAACAGGATCCAGTTTATAAATTTTGGAAAAAAAAAAAAAAAAATTTTACATAAAGTGAAATACAGGTTGGCCATCACTAATCCAGCATCAGCGAGACCTGTAGTGTGCCAGATTAGTGAGTTTGCCGGATTACAGAGTGGTTTGGTTAGAGAACTTAATAAACCTATCAATAGAGACTGCCACATCTTCCTCATTTTCATCACTGCTTTTACCTCCACTGGCTTGCTGCTGTGGATTTACAACTATCTGCACAATTTCTGAGTCAGTATAATGATGAAATTTAAAAGTATGCTAGCCAAAATCAGTGCCGGATTACTGATGGAACCGGATAACTGATTGCCAGATTAGTGATGGCTGACCTGTACTGAAATGGATCAAAAGAGGTATGGTAATAGTAGGTGCTATAATCATTGGAAATAAAAAAAATATGTAGTGATTAACTTAGTGAAGATGGAACACCACAAGCACGGCCCTGCTCCTATGACTATAAATGATAATTACAAACAGGTAATTACACAGACACCCAAAGAGAAAATATATACAGTACACAGACATGCAGTACATATAATTTTGAAAACTTCACAGTAACGCAAAAATTATGATGGGTAAAATAGTGCTACATGTATTCTGGAAGACGGATCATCTTGAGACCATCTTAATCTTTTATTATAGTTGAGTATTCCCATCATATTTTATCATTAATGAGAAAATTTTAAGATAAAATATATATAGTATATAGTTACTATATACATGAACAGCATATTTATATATTTATATTATAAATACAGTATTGGTATATTATATTTAAATGTTAAATGCATACTTTATTTTTTTTTATTAACCAATTAAAAGTAAAGAAGTTAGTTTCATAATAGTACACTCCAAATAGTTAAAAAAATACAGAACAAACTACAATGTACAGTACAAATGAGGTTTGTATCTGTTACCTGAAAACAGTGATAACTGTAAAGAAACTATGTAATATTTATCATTAACATGACACTAAAATATAATCTCAAGCTAAAATACATGATGGCAATGTATAAGTAATCAGCACTAAAATTCTAGCGTAGGCGACCAACCCTAGGAATGGTTAGGCCAGTCTGGCTGCCTTGGAGGACTGGAGCCCACAGAAGGGGTGTACTTCAGCAGATGGAGCCCAGAGCTAACAGCCCGCCAAACTCTCCAGATTCTACCTGGCTCCTCTTCCCTCTAGTAAAGCCGGGAGGGCAGGCTGCGCCTTCAGGACAATGAAACATTACCTTTTCCACCTCGAGGAGAGGGGCGGCCTCAGGGCCCCTGGCGGAGGGTGTCCTCCTGACCCAGGCGAATTGGGTCTTGTACTCTGATACAAGAAAACTATCATCATCTAGGTCTCTGCCTAGGGGCCCCTCGGAACGACTGCGGTGTGATGGTTGTAGGAAGCGGCGGCTGCGTTCCTCCGACTGTAAGGAAAGGTGAGCTCAGCCCCAAGAAGCAGACACGCATACACGCACAAACTAAAGGTTACTACATAGATCATTGGTGGCAGCAGTGAGATACCGTGCAGCAGCTGGTGTTGTCAGTGGTAAGAAAATAAGTGGTGATGAAACAGGTGGTGGAGCTGGTAGAAGATGGTGTCTGACCATTGAAGCACAAATGTAGATAGTGCTGTGTGTACACACACACACACACATACACACACACACACACACACACACACACACACACACACACCCACACATTGTGAGTGAAAGAGCTGGGCACAAATGCTTCAAAAAAATCACAAGCCCACAAATTACAAATGAACACTGATTTCAAAATAGTGTTGGACTGGTCAAAATGCTGGCCAATTTTAATTTTAATTTATTGTGGTATTGTGCATTATATTAAATAAATGTCCCATAAAGAATTCATTGAAAATGTGGTAACAATGGCACCACGGTCACTCGTGAGACTGCAGGTGCAAACTTATGGTTACAGTTAATGAAGAAGTTCAGTGCCACTTTTTTTTGTAGACTACAAGTATATATTTGTACACTAGGAGTTAAAGTTGTTTGTAAGACAACTTATCAAGTGGCAAAGTTATATAAGCATTAGAAATCCAAGTCATAATTATAAAACTGAAATTTAACTAAATGAGCTTCTATTAACCCCTTCACTGCTGGGACCCCCAAAATTAAAAGTGCTGACAGTGTCAGGAATTTAAAAAACAAAATCTGAAATGGTAGAGAATCTTTTTCTTTGTGCCCAGACTGCCACGTTGGCATTCTGGGTGCAATTTATGCATTGGTAATTTTATCCACTTTGAGTCCTATTTTAAGCCAATTCCACTGCTCAGTTCGATCAAATTCTTAGCTATTTCACTAGTATGCCTTCCATTCCATCAACTGAGCACAAGAAACTGCCCATTCAAAAAACAGAACTACCCTATAAAGTGAAAAGTTTATAATTTCACCAATTTTACACAAAATTAAAAAAAATTCACTTTAAAAATAGTCTAAAATAAACACTGCAGACATTCCAGCCACTAAAACAATATTTCTTCTGTTCATTAATCATGTTCTCAGGCTTTTCCTATATTAATTACACTTGCCACCCATTTTGAATTTATCACACAAAACTGAAGTTTTACCCTATTTCTCAGCTATGACTGGTCATACTTTAGAATGTCTCAATAATTGAACCAGGCCTAATGAAAACCCATAAAACAGGTAGGGGTAGGGGAGCAGGGGGGGCTTACATGTCCACAAGTGAAGTGTCAACAATTGAAAATTTCCACTAATTTGAGCCCAATTTGAAGATGCTCTCAGTCCTGAAACTAACCAGAATCATTTCTATTTCATCCATTGTATCAAATAATTCCAAGAAACTGTCAATAAGACCATAAAATGCATTCTAGAAAACACCTCAACTTTGCTATTTTAAACCAAAAATAAGGTCAGAGGTTTGCATTTCCCATCATGCACTTCATGGAGCAGAATTTTTTTTATACTATGCAGGTGAAATTGCAGACCTTAAGAATATTCAGAGAACTTTCACGGCACATATAAGTACAATAAAGTACATACCTAAATTACTGAGAACTGTTGAAGTCCCTTGATTTGTGCTCCATGGAACGCAGGTGAGAAAGACACACGATAATGTACATCTGGAAAATCCTCGAGGGACCAGTCCCAAATTTGCACATCAAAATCACTCATTACATAAGCAGAAGACTCAGCAGAAGATGCAACATCCCCCCTCAATGAAAAGCAGGGGCATTAAGAGTATGCTAAGAGACAACACAATAAGTTTCATGGACCTAAGACTGTTCAAATGCCTCTCAGCATACATAAGGGGGATTACCAATAGACCCCTAGAGCTGGACAGGAATCTAATTAGTACCTGACCAGCTGAGCTGTGGCATGTACATTGGTTTACATACAGCAAGTAGTAACAGTCTGGTTGATCAGGTCCTGATCCACTACAAGGCCTGGTCAGACTGGGCCATGGAGGCATTGACCCAACCCCTCCCCCCCCCAGGTATACTCCCTACACAGATTCATTCTCTCGTGTCCAGGACAAAATTTATTACTCGTAGCTTATCTAAAAAAGCCGAGTTCAAAACGTAGATCTACATGAGTGACGCTGGCATCAGTAACAGATCTTTGCAAGAGGAAGTGAAAGGGTGAAATGCAATTTTGTAACAACTTATTGTTACTGAACCTCACTCAGTACATTTACCTGTGATTGGTCCCAGGAATCATGTTTCCCTCAACCTGGTCCCAGACTGGGCCTCACTGGTGATCTTATTAGTGCCTGCTGCATTTGACTTGGCTTGGCTTCAGCACTAATATCTGGCTGATCAGAGCTTCTGTAAAGAACTTACTAGTTCTATCTTAAAGGCAGTTATGGGTCTACTGACAATCACCTTTATATCAGAAGGAAGGCTACAGAAAGCCTTCTAACCCTTCATACCTATGTGAAGAGTTATCTTTTTGTGTACTTATCGTACCCCTGCTTTTCACTGGGATACATATATTTCACCACCTACCACACCTCCTGATCTTGTAATGAGTAACTTCAAAGTGAACATTTGGAACTAGTCCTTCCAGAATGTTCCATGTGTAAATTACATTTTTCTTACCTGATCTCCATAGAGTGCAATTTGAGGAATTTTATAAGTTCCCCAAAATTTAGATGTTTGTACAGAGAAATTTCATGGTCAATATAAATTTATTCTCTGAAGATCTGCAATTTTACCTGCCTTAAACAGGGGCTGCTATACAGCAGTATCCTAGTCAAGGTGACCTAAAGAGTGTCATCACTGTTTAGGTAACTTTTCTTTTGACAGCTCCTTTTATTCATCCTATCACTTTTCTTGCAGTTGTGGTAACAGCACTATTGTGATCCTTGAATATAAGAATTCCAACACAGATACTCCTAAATCTCTAACATTCCTGTTCCCTTCTACTGAGTGTTTTGATTACTCTCATTATATAATTTGTGGTGTTAAGCAGCTGCATGCATATTTGAGCAACTCCATCTTATGATCTGTTCAACTGATCACACCCAATAAACTTTAGTACCCATTTCTATATTTTATCATTAAAGTAACTTTTAATAGTTGAGTACTTTTTGCTTTACATTTCTTTGAAAGACATGAAAAGAAAAGCCAAGAGTAATGTAAAGGTTAGGCTCAGGTGCTGCTTATTTTATATCTTATGAGACTACAATAGGGAATGATCCTCTGTTTCCTAACATGGGTGTAAAATCTAGCTGGGAGTGGTAGGCCAGCAGATGATTAACCACTTAACACATTAACCCAGTGGCCCGGTGGCCAGAGCTCCTGCTTCACACACGGAGGGCCCGGGTTTGATTCCCGGCGGGTGGAAACATTTTGACACGTTTCCTTACACCTGTTGTCCTGTTCACCTAGCAGCAAATAGGTACCTGGGTGTTAGTCGACTGGTGTGGGTCGCATCCTGGGGGACAAGATTAAGGACCCCAATGGAAATAAGTTAGACAGTCCTCGATGACACACTGACTTTCTTGGGTTATCCTGGGTGGCTAGCCCTCCGGGGTTAAAAATCCGAACGAAATCTTATCTTATCTTATCTATCTAACAAGGACCCATGTGAAAAGAGAGAGTCCTGTTTCCTGTACCCCAGTGAAGTGCCTGAATGAGTATTAGTAGTTAGGATGAGCCTATTAGGGCCAAGTGTTCTCCCCCTGAGGTTACTAGGCAATACCTAAGCCTGACAGAAATTAATTTAAGTATTGTACTATATATGTACTGCAGTTTCACACCAAGGCCCTCTTTGGCAAAATAAATAGTGCACTGGAGATGAAGCTTGTATACAAAGGCAGGTCACACAAATTAAGTCATTTCCAATGAAAAGTCCCAAGCAGGAACATGTGACCCCGGAGAAAGAGTTGTAAGAGCATCAGGTTTCTGCTAGAATGGCAGGATGTTTCAAGATCTGTCATGCACTTAAAACCAATGCCAGAATTTTGCGCTTATACTATCCTGTGCATATCTAAAAGATCACAAATGTTCAGTTACTCTAGTGATTCACTTTCTACCAGCTTGTCTAATTTATGATTGCTTATAGTTTTGCAAGTAATTTCATATACAATGCATTAGGTATATCAAGGATGTTTTTCTTTAACTACTGGTTCAACAATTACTTATTTGGGATGGGTAATGAGGCACAATTTTGTTACAAGCACGATACATTTCTTGGGTTCTCCAAGTCTTTGTGGCAGGGAATTTATAATACAGTATGTGTCCATTGTATTGCTCTTTTTTTTCTCTCTTACTGGGTCTATACAGTTTCTGGAAAAAAAAAAAAAAAAAAAAAAAAAAAAAACTTGCTGAATTTTCAACCAAATAAAGGAAATGAATTAGATAGTCTTATGTCTGGCATCCCCCAGAGTTGGGCTAACAAGACAGAAGTGCAAAGTGCTCAGCAGCCTAAAGTCCATGTTAAAGGGAGGTGTTGTCATACTCGCCATTCGTCCCTTTTGTACCGCTCGATTGTTTACTTTGCAACCACCTACAGTTGTTGCTATGGATCACGCTGGGTCGGTAGATGCTGTATGTAAGGAGAAGATTCATATTATCCCTCTCAAGGAACAGGGTCCCCTGTGAAGGATATTTCTGGGATGCACATCACAGTCTGTCTGGAACCATCAAAGTTTACAAGCAACCTGTCTCACGGCACCACTTCCATTAGGACAAGGGGGTCTGGGAGGCCCAGGAAGGCCACCCAATGAACTGACATAATTCTGAAGAAGGAACATACGCTAAAGCCTACAATTACTGCTCAGGCTTTAAAGAACAAGCATCCTGATATCCTGGGAGAAGTAGGTGTGTTCATTCCCCAACATCACCTCCAAAAGGATCTGAGGATGCCATATCAAAGGGCTGCCATAAAATCCCTTATCACCAATTGTATGAGTAAAGCTTGCTTTGCTCTTT